TAGCGATCCTGTATAGGGTTTCCAAGGAGAGGCTGGTGAGTTTGAACTGCCGACCTTGTGTTAAAACCGACCTTACAGTCCAGTGCTTTACCCCACAGTGCCACAAATATACCCTGAATTCTGTTGATGAATTTCCCTTCTATTCCTATTTTGTTGAGCTTTTTAAAAAAAAAAAAAAAATCAGGAATGGGTGTTGAATTTTATCAAATACCTTTTCTGCATTGATTGATATGCTCGCATGATATTTTTTGTTTTATTTCTGTGGTGGATTATGTTGATTATTTTTCTAATATTGAATCTCTTTAAAAATCCACTGTCATGAAATTGATTCTAACTCATAGCAATTCTGTATAGGGTTTCAGAGGCTATAAATCTTCATGGGAAGAGAAAGTCTTATGCTTCTCCCGCTGAGCAGCTGGTGGGTTTGAACTGCCAACCTTTTGGTTAGTAGTACAGTGCTTACTCTACAGCACCACCAGAGCTCTTATATGAATTCTACTTAGTCATGATGCATTATTTTTTTTTATATGTTTTTGGCTTCTATTGGCTAGGATTTTGTTTAGTGTTTTGGTGTCTTATGTTCATGAGGGGTGGTGTTGTTAAATGCCTTCATGTCAGTTCTGACTCAGCAACCCTATACAGGGTTTCCGAGGCTTTAAATCTTTTTGAGAGCAGAAAGCCTCATCTTTCTCCTGATTATGAGCGATATTGGTCTGTGATTTCCTTTTTCAGGGATATCTTTATCTGGTTTGAGCATCAAGGGTATGCTCACTTCATAAAATGAATTTGGGAGTGTTCAGTCCTCTTCTATGTTCTGGAATAGTTTGAGTAGAGTTGGTATAAGCTCTTCTCAGCATGTTTGGTAGAATTCATTAGTGAAGCTGTCTGTGCCTAGATCTTTTTTTGTTGTTGTTGGGAGTTTTTTTTAGAATGAGCTGATAAATTTCTTCTTTTGTTATTGGTCTGGTCAAAATTTCTACCTCAGGCTGTGTTAGTTTAGGTAGGCAGTGTGTTTTTTGAAATTTACCCATTTCTTCTAGGTTTACAAATTAGTTGGTGGACAGTTCTTCATAGTATTCTGTTATTACCTGTTTTATTTCAGTTTGTTCTGTTGTAACATCATTCATTTCATTTCTTATTTGTGTTATTTGCATCTTCACCTTTTTTTCCTTTCTTATATTTGCCAGTGGTTTGTTGATTTTATTAATCATTTCACAGAACAAACTTCTAGTCTTATTGATTCTTTTTCTTGTTTTTTTTTTTTTTCTTTTTTCTTTCTTTCATTTATTTCTACTCTATTTCTTTACTTATGGTGACTGCAGGTTTATATTGTTGCACTTTTTCTAATTGTTGGAGATGTATGTTAAGATGTTGATTTTGGTTATTCTTTGATGTGTGCATTTATTATTATAAATTGTTCTCTGAGCATTGCTTTTGTTGTATCCAAAAGGCTTTGGTATGTTGTGTTTTCATTCTTATTTGATTCAAGGATTTTAAAATTTTTATTTTAAAATTAGGTGTTTAAAGATTAAGATAATAGAAGAAATTTAAAAATTTTTATTTTTAAAATGTCTTTTATTACCCAGTAGTTTAAAAGCAAGGTATTACTCAGTTTTCATGTATTTGATTTTTATCCCTTGATCTTCCTATTGTTGATTTCTTTTTTATGTTGTTATTGTAGTTAGGTGCTATAGAGTTGGTACCAACTCATAGCGACCTTATGCACAACAGAACGAAACACTGCCCGATCCTGGGCCAACCTCACTACTGTTGCCATGCTTGAGCCTATTGATGCTGCCACTTTGTCAATCCATCTCG